GCCCCAGCCCCAGCCCCGGCCACAGCCGCCGGCGGCGCAGCCTGAGCCGGCTGGTCCTGCACACCCGCTACCTCACGGCCAAGATGATCGTGGCCCCGAACCCCGTGGACCTGCGGCTCGTGACCGTCAAGAAGATCACGCAGAACCCCGTGGCCCTCTTCACCGTCCTCTTCCTGCTGGTCATGTACATCATCCTCGCCTTCTGGGCCCTGCACAGGGACGAGACGGACCAGTTCCTGCGGCAGTACGTGATCGTCCTGCCCGACAACGACCCCTACGACCACGTGTGCTACCTGGTCACGGTGTTCACGGGCAGCCGCTGCGGGGCGGGCACCGGGGCCAACGTGTTCCTGCAGCTGCTGGGCACGCAGGGGGACAGCAGCGTGCACTGCCTCAGCCACCCCAGCATCGCCGCCCTCTACCGGGGCAGCATCAACAGCTTCCTGCTGGCCACCCGCAGCGACCTGGGGGACGTCCGCGCCGTCCGCGTGTGGCACGACAACGAGGGCGACGAGCCCAGCTGGTACCTGAGCCGCATCAAGGTGGAGAACCTGTTCAGCCGGCACATCTGGCTGTTCATGTGCCGGGCCTGGCTGTCCGTGGACACCGCCGTGGACAGGGTCTTCCACGCCATGCCCCCGGACCAGCCGCTGCGCAAGAAGGACTTCTTCCTGATCGACATGTCGCACAGCCTGGGCAGGAACCACCTGTGGTTCTCCGTCTTCCTCGGCGTCATCGCCAAGCCCTTCAACCGGCTGCAGCGGCTGTCCTGCTGCCTGGCCATGCTCATGGCCTCCCTGCTCTGCAACATCATGTTCTTCAACCTCAGCAAGGAGGACGACAGCGAGTACGAGGGCGGCCAGTACGTGCGGGCCATGATGATCGGGCTGGAGAGCGCCGTCATCACGCTGCCCGTGCAGCTGGCCATCACCTTCCTGTTCACCTGCTCCCAGCGGCAGCCCCAGGTGGCCCTGGAGGCGGTGACACCCCAGGCGTACCCCTGGCTGCTGGAGGAAGGCGGGCACTGGGAAGACCATCTGGAGAAGTGGCACAGCCAGCAGGCGGGCGAGGAGCCCCCCAAGGGGGCCAAGCGGGCCAGGCGGGCCAGGGTGGCCCGGGGGGCCAAGGGGGAGGCCAAGGGGGCGCCCCAGGGGGCCGAGGCCCCCAGGAAGCCTGCGCCCAAGAAAGCGTCCCGCCCGGGCAAGGCCCCC